GGCCCCGCCGCTGCCAAGGGCAGTATCCCTTCGATGAACGGCGGTCTGCTGTACCAGCACCGCACAGGCATGCGTTCAAGGCTACTACTAGTGATTTAAAAGAGGGCTTTTTGTGCCTAGATAAACACGCTCTGCTCTTATTAAATTATGCATTTGTTCGGCACTGGCAGCGCTTCAGCTCCCAGAGTTTGCGTGTGGGTAGTTTTTGTGTTGTATTATTCATGTGTTGGTTGATAACGAGCAATCTAAGCAGGTTGGAGCTGCTTAACTCAAAGCTACGGCTGTCAAAATGTGAGCTTTTATTAATAAGATTTTCCCCCCCCTTCATCTCCCAAAGAAACGCCCCTCTGTATTAATCACACATCACTTTCAGAACTTTGAAATGTAAAAACCACCTGAATAAATAACTGTCCCAGTTCAAGGAGTTGACGCACAGATGACAAATGGAAATCCAAGGGAGAGGCCGTATACCTGCAGCGAGCGGGGGAGGGATACATCAAGGACTTGTCTAGGGGAGGAAAAAAATAAATTAAAAAATTATCGAATAAATCCTAGAGGCTGTAAACACAGTACCCCTGTGATTAGCAGGCCTGAAAAAGGAGTTGCACGACAAGCAAATCAGCCAGGAAGCATACAAAAAGCTCATTACAGACTCGAAGCCTTTTACATGAAACACTGGTTATCAGCTGCATTAAGCAAGAGCTGTTGTCGCCACGCTCCTGTCACACTTGGCAAAGGCCAGAGAGCTCTGCCACCTATTTTTAAAGGAAGTAGTAACGCTATTTGAACGGTGGGCAAAACTTTCTGATGGCTTGAGAAAGGCTCCTAGCCTTTCACAATAAAGGCTGTTATTGGCGATGAAACACAGAGAGCCACTGGTCAAACGCTGGCAGGCCAGAAGGCTGGACACCTCACAGGGCAAAGCGCCCGCTACCCTAGAGAGCTAATGTGAACGGAAGAAAATAAGGGCAGAAACCAGCCATGAATAAGTGTAGCCTGGGCATCGAAGGGAAGTTTTTAACTCTCTTGAGGAGCGAGGGTAGAATTAACCTTTCATTCAAAGCAACATGGGGCAAATAACAAAGCCATTTCCAGGAGCAGCTCAGAAGGTTTATGAAGGACTCTGTGATGTGGTGGCCTGCAACAGCCACGGTCTGGTCTCTGCGACCTTGAGGTTTCTTCTAGCCCTGCAGCCTACGGCGAGAGGGAGAGACAGGCCGTCAGCATTGTTTTTGGAGAGCAGGAAGGGCTGCCTTGGATATGCACCTGAGATAACACTACACCTGCTGGCAATGATTCCACCACTGACCTCACCCACAGTCATATATTTATCCCACACTTAAAGACCAAATACCAAAATTCTGATTTTCCACATGTCACCGACAGGCGGCTTTGCTAAGCTCACAGCAGACTAAAATAAGCTAAAAGCTTCAATATAGTCCCCAGGTCTCCTCAAACTGTGCTTTTACTGTAAGACCATCTTTCATTCACAAGAGGTTCTTTATTCCACTTGTAATAAATTCCATTTCCTTGTAAAATGAGAATTGGACCCAATTGCTGGGTCTTGATAGTGATAATTTCATGATATTTACAGATCAATCAAAATGCACAACTGTGTGTGTCAACCCATATAATGTTAAACCTAGGATTTCAAGCGTTCCTGCCTGTGAGGGAGTTGCATATGATCAGTTGTGGAAAGAAAACAGTGAAAACAATAGCCAAGCAAGGAGACTCCAAGGATAAGCCCTAACGTGCTGGTTGCTCTTTTCTATGTCATTAATCAGATACTGTGTGTACAGAGCACTGATTTATGCTAAGCAAACATATTGCACAGATACAGGCTGCACAACAGTTTCAGGGCAATGTTAAACACCTTAACATCTTTTGTAGGAAACAGCCTATTTTACTCATACCAAAACAGAGGCAAGAAAGGTCTGAGAGATTTGCTGATGGGCAAACAAAGTAGCAGGGCACAGGGAGATTCCAGTATTCCCAGCAGGTGAGAACCTGCCTGTCCCCATATCAGCTTGGCACATGATGCTGGGGACCTGCCTGCCTTCCCACGATGACTGAGGCTGTTAAGAGCAGCTAGGAATAGTGCCCAGAGTTTCCCATGTCTTGCTACCTTCTGTAACCAAACTCCCTCTCTCCTTCCCAGGAGTTGGCTACAATCATGCTGATAGAGGAGAAAATGCAACCACTTCTATACTAACCCCTCTCCTTACCCAAACAGCACAGTCAGCTGTTTCACGCCTGCACACAGCCAGAGGGTAGCTGAGCTGTAATCCTGCCACGACTGGGCAGCTGTCAGAGCCTGTGCTATCCCTGGAGTACGGTGGTGGGTGGTGCTCTCTATAGCACTCTCCAGCAGGTCTTACTACTTATTACCTTTTGGACAGCGTTAAGTCCAGCACCTGCCCTCTGCCCCTAACAAAGATCCTATAATAAAGTTCAGGAACTACGTCAAGTCTTACCAGCAGTATAACAGCCCGGTGCAGTATACACGAATCTAGCTGTAACGCTTACCTTGAGTAGCCCCCAGCGTTTACTGGAGCCCAGAAACAGCCGCAGCATCCCAGGGAGAAGCCCCTGCCATGCATTGCATTTATCTCGTCTCCATCAAAACATGCTGCGTGCTGTATGGCTAACACAGGAGTTAAGCTGCTTGACAGTAGCTGCGTCTCCCTTTTCAGCTTTCGCTGTATGCGGCTGCCTGCCCTCATGGAGGCACGCGATGGGAGGAGCAAGGAGAAGCACCACAGTTCACGGGGACCAGCTTCGCTCACGGGCAAGAGCAGCCTCAGGATTTTTGATACGACACCTTTCACTGGCACCAGGGAGATCAAACACTTGTTTCCATCTTAAATGGTAATGCTACAGCTCTCTCAGCTACCAGTTTCCTTCCTGCTTTATATATAGCTTTTCAGCCCTTGCATAGTTAAGAAGCCCCTGGATGGCAGTAGCGCTCAGCAGATCAGATAAGAATCCCAAATTAAGGGTAACCCATCAACTGGCAGGAGGAAGAACAACTGCCTTACTTTGGTTTTCTAAGGTGAGGTTGAGGTATGGGTGAGAATATAATGGGTGGACTGGGTTTTTTTTTTGGGGGGGGGCGGGGGGGGGGGGAAGCAGTTGCCTATGTTGTAACCTGAATTTTCCACAGTTGATAATAAATATCAACAAGAGAAAAAAGAGAGAGGAAGAAAACCCCTAACAATCCCCTTCCCCCAGTCTCCCCTGTAGAAGAAGCATTTGGCATCTGCAATTGTTCCATCCACAAACATGGGAGTAGATATTTCTAAAATAGGATGAAAATAAAGCTGCACATTTTGGTAGATGGGGTGTAGTTTTGCTTGCATGTTCATAATGTAGTTCCTTCAGGCAAGAGCATATTTAGAAAGCCCTGACAGATAATATTATTTGTTTGTATACTGCTGGCTTGGGAGAACCCGCTCTTTATTTCCAGGTGCAAGCACACCCAGAACTACTTTATGCATTCCCATGCACCTGGCTACTATCTTCATGTCATTGATGCTTCATCCATTCTTACTCAGACAGCCATAGTTCCTGATTTCAGTTTTGAATGTTCTTCAGAGTTGCAGTGTTCTTCCCATATTTTCCTGCAGATCTTTTTGTAGGGGTGGGGGGAGTGGGGGAGGAAAACAAACAAACAAAAACTCTACTCATCCATTGATTGATATAACAAAAGCATAGACCTTAAAGAAATGTTGGTTATGGGCTGGAACAGGGACAGCTTTTCTTAAGCTATGTTTCCCATCCTCAAGACTAACAAACTAGCGTTAGCGATCTGACATCTACTCTAATCTGACATCTGCTTTCCTTTGCACTCTCCCGTAGCGAGACAGATGCATTTGTGCCTAACGATTGGGGGTAACCTGCACTAGTGGTTGACTTTCTCCACTGCCAGGCTAGCCTGAACTGGAATTACACACTGGTATTTTTGAACTGTTCAGCAATTACAGATCTGTAATACCAGATGCAAGGCACAAGACACTCACAGAGTTCTGCAAACCTACACAAAACAGTCAATAGCTATAGCCTTTTTTAAGGCTTAGTTCCTTTTTGCATTGTTTATCCTGTATGTCTTTCCTTTATGCAACAGATGCTCAGAACCACCTATGTTAGTTACCTGCAGCAGCACTGCTATTGGTTAGGAAGGTATCAAAATACAAAAAACAAACACCGGCCACACAGGAAATCTCATAAAACATTTTTATTTAACAAAAATTAACTGTTCAATCAGAACCAAACTGAAGGGGTCCTACCAACAATGCCAACATGTTTACGGTACTTCATAAGCATCAAATCACTCTGTATACAGGTCCAGTTAGGCTCTACAGTCACCTCATCATCACAGCAACAGTACAACATAAGAACCTAGACAACGTCCCGGTTTAGCTTCCATACATTAATAGGCTCGAATACGTACACAGTGTAGCATGCCACTCTGTATTACAGTTGCCACAATTTCATGACTTCAGTAGAAATACCATTTTGTTATTGCTGTAATTCACTGGTTAGTTTTTGACTTGCTTTTAAAAGGCTGAGTTGTTCCCCATCAAAGATCTGTTCTATGTGAAAAATGTGATTAACATTGAGCTGCTTCTTTTGCTTATTTGACAGAAGTGCCACACGCCCACTCCTAACCTATTGTTGTAACTGCCATCAGGCCAAGAAACCCAATGAACAGGACATGCACTTGTTATCCTTTTCCCAGGACAGCTCAGCTAGTGTTTCACTGCTTCAGAAATTTATTTTTTTAAATGGTAAAGAAAGGAATATATACATGGGTAGTTTCAAGTTTCTGTTTCAGGATAAGGCAGTTAAGTTTACGTGTATAAATGTCAACACAGCTGAGCCCCAAGACATTTTACAAGCCAGGCTGCAAACACAGTGAGGTTTTGGGGAGTGTGTTCCCCTGAGCAGCCAGTCTGAAAGGACTCCATGGACCCCATGCAGCACATCCCAAACTGATTAATCATTCACCTCATGCAGTAAAGGCCGAGGCTCACACAGGTGATGAGTAAACTATACCTGTCCCAGCCAGGGGAGAAAAACCTTTCCAGCCCAGGTGCTTGAAGCCACCATAGCATTAAACAAACCAAGCAATACACCAAGGCTACTTCTGCAGGCCCTGACGGGAATTAACTTTAACTACCACACAGAGGAGAAGGCATGAAGGGGAAGCACGCTGCATAGCATCTTATCCCTTGCCGTTTCTCCTGCACACTTAAACTCACCATGAGCTGCATAGCAGCAGGGACAGCCTATTAGCCAGCCTACAGTATACTGTGGTTTTCTGTTGCTGTGCAGGTCATGGTGCCCACATAACCAGGTGCCAGAGCTCAGAACAACTCCTTCCCAGTGCTCAGATGATTTGGAAAAAAGAAGTTATTTCTAAAAACAGGTATAAGGTAAGTCCTACATTGCTCTGACTGGAGGGAAAAAAAAAAGAAAGAAAGAAAGAAAGAAAAAAAGAATAAACCTAAAAAAGAATACTCCCCAAACATCCATTTTTCTCCTTAGGTGGAAAGGGGAGGTAGAGCTAGTGGATAGAGATCCACCAGAAGCATCAAGGCATTTTAAAAGGGAAGGAAGTGACAGATTAAGAAATCAACGTTTTGAAAAATCTCAGGCATTCATCCTGTTAATTACAATAACGACCAGCGTCTTTTCAGTCACCACAGTCATAATTCTCCAAGGTTATAAAGAACAGCTTGAAATCCTGCACCTTCCTTCTCAGTGCTACATTCACACCCACCATCTCACTGAAACAGCCCAGCCTCAAGGGTTATGAGTTAGCAACTCCTATGACTGCTGGAATCTGGAGTCCCAAAGGACAAAGGTGAGGACATCCAAGGGTTCTCGGGATGAACGTTTTGTCTAGTTAGACTCCCTGTGAGCTTCCCCTCCAGCTTTACAGTCCCTTGGGCAAAGGCCTTCACAGCACAAGCAGCATTGCTGATAACCCATTCACCAGCATCACGAGTCACCCCAAGCTGAGTTTGCAGGTGAAGTACCATGATCAACTATGGTAAAACTGGCAGTAAGGATGGCAGACGGGAATAGCAGAAATAGTACAAGCAGCTAAAGGATGTATGTGCATATGCAGAGACATAAGTGTATGTCTCAAAGGGTATTAGTCCTCAGAAAGGTACATCTAACATCACGGGGCAGACACAACAAAAGCCACACTGCAGAGCATGCACTTAAGGCCATCTCCTATGCCAGGCCTGGAGCTCTCCACAGAGAGGCCTAGGGGTACACCCTTGCTTCTGCCCTGCAGCAGCATCTCAATGACAGAAAGAACAGTAGCAGTTGACCACATCACTGTGAAGGTGCCTTTTTGGTGGCAGTCTCCAAACGCACAGGCTTAGACCAAAACCTCCCAGAGCTTTCACTTTTTGAAAAAATTTACAGTTCTCTGCTGCACTTCCCATATATGCAACAGAAGAACTAAAGGCATTTTAGAAAGAAGATATTTGTTCTTACTTATGTAAGAGCTAATACATATACCTTCTAAAATGTGATACTAATATAGTATAAATATAGATCAAGTACAGTTAATGGGACTGCCTTGGGAAGTAAAGGCAGAGATTAAAAACAAACCTATCGCTTCATATACAGTTGCTGCAAGTCTTCACTTGGTGCACTAATGGCTTTCAGGAGATCTGCTTTGAACCTGCTCTTGTCTTCTGTAAGTCCTTATAATATTGTAGATACCACTCCCCAAGAACACCAGAGAGATAGCCGCAAAATAAGAGGCATAAATCATGAACTGCAAAGAAAGGGAGAAAAAAAAACAAACAGACAAGAAAACTTGCAGTTAGAAACAAAAAAGATCATCTACTCTTTTACAGCAAACCTCATATGGAGAAAAAAAAACATTCCCCGTAAGTTAAGATTGCTGACTGAAACGCTGCTCCCAGTCTATTGTCTGCCTTTATTACTTAGTTCACCAGCACTGATGACTGATGTTAGATAAACAGTTCAGTTTTCAGATCCACGAATCTTGCACATGGCTGCAGGATAATAGCCTTTAGATACAACAATTAAACAAAATTCCCCACAGACAATGACTACAAATCAAGTCCTGAAGGTGATGATGGAAGTTGAGTATCCATCCAATTTCTCCATGGGGGACAGAAATCAGAATGGCTGAACAAAACAGACACCAAATCTGTTAGAAGTTTAACATGCTAGCTCCCTTCCTCTTCTAAAATATCAAGAATCAGTAAACACCTCTCTGCCACGAAACCCTTGACCCAGAAACAGGTAGCTGAGAAGCTTTATAGCTTGATTTACTTCCCTCCCTCCCGTTGGTAAAGATAAAAGAAGCTAGCATACCTGAGTAAAGATGTCTAACCCAAGCCCGCTGGCATCCACGACAATCAAAGTGAGCACGGTCTGAAGTGCTAAGGCAATGAAAGTATTGACCCCAAATACCAGGGCATACCGTTCCACACTAAGATTTGTAGCAATCTGGAACCTGGAAAGAAAGGGAGGACCAGAAACATAAGGATGGGGAAGAATCGGGGAAAAGCAGGAATAGGAGGAACTTCTCTGGACAAGGCATCACATGAGAAGACTATGTAAGCCAAAGAGTTGCCTAGGCTAGTCCTATATTTTCCACAATTAGATTTCCTTGCACTGACAGTGTACTTTGCCAAGTAGGGCCATGATAAAATAGCACAGAGGCTAGAAGAGACACACAGGAACATCTGAAAGACTGCAAAAAACTTTGGGAGCTCTGTGGATTGCATTCTTTCTTACTTAGCCCCCCAGTCTGGGGCAGCTGCAAAGGGCCTGGTCACCCAGAGAAGGTACAATGCTCTTCAAATGCCGGAGACCTGCTGTTGGCAATCTTAAAGCCTACCGTGATGTAATCCGTAACCTCCTGCATCCTTCTGACCAGAACTCCCTACAGTTCTCCCTACAGTACTCCCTACTCCCTACCAGCTTCAGCATCTCCTCTTCACATCATGCTTGAACTATCATGTAGTAATTGTGTGTGGCTGATCAACGGCAGCATTTTCCTCCCCCAAGGGACATTAAGGACGTTTTCCTCCTTAGAGTTTAGGGGGAAATGACCCTCTATTACAGGTACAACATTGTCCTCTTCTCCTCAGCTAACACTTCACTCAAACCATGTTTATGAAGAAACCTTTCCCACGGCAGGCAGAGCTATCTAGTATTTAGAGACAATTCTGTGTCATGAGACTTGTGACCTTGGGCAGGTTGCCAGCAGAAAAATCTCTCCATGCTTCAGTCGCCAACCTGAATCACAACACAACAGCTTAGCCACACTTGTAACGGATTTCCAGATTCCTGGTGGGCAAGACCCTACCTACTTGGAGAAAAATGCCAGCTTTCACAACAACTATAATTTTGAGAGGAATTAGTCAAAAAGTACTCACGTTGCTATTGTGATCAGCAGCATGTAGATAATTCTGAAGACAACATATGATGCATAGCACACCCAGATGTTACGAACAGTGTCCATGATATATACAGCAGCAGCAATAAGAAAGGAGAACAGCGCAAGTGCCACCTCACCCCACATGGCCCAGGATGTTTTTATATGACCCACAACAAACACTGCAACAGCTCCTGTGAGGAGAAAGGAAAACATAACTGTCAGTTGTTCAAAGTGATTCAGAGACTGTCGATTAGGGTCTGTGCAGCCCCTAATAGTTAACCATAAGTGAAGCGGAAGACACTAATGTGTCTACCTTAGACGTTCTCCTTCCTGACCTGACCTCCCTCACCTGGAAGCCAACTGTAAACTCCTATTCGCTTTTATGGGGGAAAAAAAGTAGGTCTATAGCAACTGCTTCCGAAATCTCCTCCCTGGCTTCGTAAACACTACAACCCCATGACTCAGATTGCTGCTGCTCAACAGTCTTCTGTGTTTGACTGTAGAAATATTGTCAATTGGGTGGCAGAGAAATGTAAACCCTGGTTTAAAAAAAGGCGCTCAGCTAATGATTTTTTGTGTTTCAGGGTCTACATTCACTGGCAGAGGGAAGGGAAAGAAGACGTCCACTTTGATACGCAGCTGTTCAAGTTTTCTGCTTCCTGGGTGAAAACTCTCATTTAGCGTCATCTTCACTCCAGCTACAAGAGTGAGAGCAGGAGTTCAAACCTACCTCTCCCAAGAAGCACCTTAACTACAAGCTACCGAGGCTGGGGAAAACAAAAAACAAAAAACACCACACACACAGAGAAAAACCTCTTCACTGTTGATTGTTCATGTACAATCCTTTCTAACCAAAACAAGCTTGTAACTCCTGCTGGCTTTTTAAAAAAGTGGGGAGGGGAAGGCAGAAACAAGATAGAGAAGACAGAAAAAATATGGTATTTCACACAACCAGTAGATAACGTGTGATTTCATACACCATCACATCTGTAACTACTCAGCGGCTCAAATACAGATCACATTACAAGAA